ACAACGCGCAGAAGATCAAGCCTGCCTNCGGGAACAGATGACCCGCATGCAGGCAATGGAAGAACAGATGAGCGCCGTGCGGGCAATGGAAGAAAGNATGAACGNGTTCTTCCGNAACCANTCGCANTAGNNTTTACTTTATGTAATATTTTAATTTTGTAAATCACATTTAAAAATGTTGAAATTTAAATTTAAATTTTGCTTTATTTTAATTTTATTTTAATTTAATTTTAATTTAATTTTAATTTAATTTTAATTTTATTTTAATTTAATTTAATTTTAAATTTTGTTTTATTTTAATTTTATTTTAATTTAATTTATTTTTTTTTTTTAAAATAATAATTTCGTCGGTTTTGACTACCGTCGGAAATCCGTCGGAAGTTTTGGCCGTCGGAAATCCGTCGGTGACACGTGTCGTCGAAAATCCGTCGGTGACACGTGTCGTCGGAAATTTGTCGGTGGCACGGGTCGTCGGAAATCCGTCGGTGACACGGGTCGTCGGAAAATCCGTCGGAGGTTCTGGCCGTCGGAAATCCGTCGGCAATGATTCCGACGGATTTCCGACGGATTCCAGTTATCCCTTTTCCGTCGGAAATCCGTCAGTATTTCCGACGGATTTCTGACGGTTTTTAATTTCCGACGAGATAGAACCGACGGACCAAAAACGTCGGCAAGCCGTCGGAATAGGGCTTATTCCGACGGATTTCCGTCGGAAACGGCCCTGTTTTCTTGTAGTGTGAAACCAAAAAGGAGAGATGTGAAGGCAATTTCCTTTTCTGATTTGGAATTCGGGGCTAGTGTTAATTGGGTTTCCTTTTGTGATTATGACATAGGGTTTGATTCGGCTTTCAAATTTGGGTATTTCCATAGCTGATGCTTAATTTACAGTTTTAGGAGAGATATGAAACGGAAAAGGCAATATGTGAAGGAGGAAGAAGGAAATTTTGGCCAAGAGGGTTCACAAAGACCTCTCATATCAAACATTTCATTTCGAGATATTAAATAAAGCTCTACCAAAACTGCATTTTTCTTGTGCTAGGGTCAGTACCTTGGCACAAGAAAAGACGGTTTTGGTAAAGCTTGATTTGATATCTCGGAATGAAATGTTTGATGTGAGAGGCAAGCGAAATCTCCCCCAAGTTGGAAGCGTTTGGTCTACCCATGAGCACTCTCGAAGGCATATCCAACAGAACGGGGGTGCTTATTCGTACGTCGCTGGACTGCCAAGAGAGAGTCACTATAAACCTGTCTTCTCTCGAGACTTCTTTGTTGTCTCCATCTCCTATTGTCGAAGCAGCCATGTCATTGCTTCCACTTTGTGGGCGTGTGTTCATAGATGGTACACAAAGCCTTCACACTGTCTCAGTTCTGCTCAAGGACACTCCTCCGCAATACGTCTTCCAAACACTTCCGTCTCAGTCTCCCCGTGGCTTTCTTCAAGTGTCACCACTAGCATTTCACTTTGATATTGTCCTAATTACATGTTTTGGGTTATTTCACTTTGATATTGTCCTAATTACATGTTTTGGGTTATTCACTATCTTTTCGTACTTTTCATTTTTCAGATCATGGGTCACAAGATGATAGTCAACCTCACATTGCGTGAAGTTATCTCTATCTTGAGGAGGACGTTTTTCATTCAAGATTAGATTTTTCAGATTGTGGGAAGAGCAAACTGACTGTGTGAACTTCACATTTCGTGAAGTTATCTCTTTCTTTTTTTTGTAACTTTTTGTCTCCTTCTTCTTTTATTGAGATGCTTTGCTTTGCTTTTCTTTGATTGGTTGGTTTTCCACTTGGTCATGTACGAATACTAAACAAAAATCTCCAGAAAAACCATTGCACAGATTGATACTCTTTGTGTCCTAATAATACCAAAAAGAAAGGATTCTTTCAACATTTAGATTACACGAAAATCTTTATCAGTAAAAGGAACCAAGAAATCTTATTAACAGATCATATCTTGTCTTGAATCATAATAACCATCATCATCAGTTTCTTCAATCACAATCTTCTACTGCTTTTATCAAACAATCACCAAAAACCCCCATTAAGCTTAATATCTCTACCTAACAAGTATACAATGTGTGTACTCTTCAGTTTTTTTTACCTTGTACGGCATTCACAGGTCGTCATCGTAACACCAACAGATTATGAAACAGGGAGCCATTGTTGTTTGAAATGGAAGTGGTTTAAGAGGAGTCTGTTAGAAACAAAAGGCGGATTAAGTCACCGTAAGGTTCTTGTAGCGTTGCTCAAGGTTGTCATTATACAGAATATGTTCCAAAATGCCTGAAGATTTCCCTGCTACTAGGTGATCTCTGCTTCAGCGTCTCTAAGCCGCTTTTGAATCTGCTCCTCTGTCTCGGTTCCACTGTTTTGTTCTCAGCAATTAAAACTGAGAACTTGCAATGAAAGATTTGTGAAGAAGCAACAACTCTAAAGGCTTCTTTTTTTTTTACCTGGCACATAGTCGATCTTCAAGTTCCTTCACCAAAGGAGGACATACGAGTATAAATATCGCATATAGAGAACTCGCCTTCACATGCATTGCTCCTTGAACATTAATGTCAAGAATGCATCTCTACACACACACAAACAAAAAAAGAATTTCCTCACTTTAGGACCAAATGGTATGAAGGAGATGATACGAAGATGCTCATTTTTGTTTATTACCTTTCCTGAATCTGTTAATACTTCCACGGATTCAATCCTGGTTCCGTAGAGATTACCATGACCACGGATTCAATGCTGGTCCCGTCTGTGATTTCTTTCTCCGTACCAGTTTTATCAGAGAAATGGACCTTTGAGCCACGCTCGAGGTACTTCAATCATGGCAACAAATTTCTTTGGAGTTTTTGACCTCTAACTCCTTAACTCCAAGCAACAACCTCTTTTCCCAGCAATTTACTTTGTCTCCGAACAAAAGGACTATCCACCTATATGATAACTCAAACATGTGTAAATAATAACCCTCAAAATGCTACCCTAGCAAATATCGATATCGCTAAATACTAACCTCGAGGAACCATATAGAGTCATCAGAAGCTGAACCTTTTTTGCTAACCAAAATCCGACCGTTTTTAAGAACATTGGCTGAGTAGTAACCCTTGCAAGGCCTAGAGACACTTTTCAGCTTTCACCTGTGGTACTAGGAAAGACTTGAAAGGAAAACTGGTATTTACCTGGATGCTTCAAAACATAACAATTCACGATCAAACCACATTCGTGTAATTAACCATGTGTATGGCCATCTACGCCAATCCTTGCCGGCCTGCACTTGCCATACAACACAATTATCTTGACGTGAGAAAAGTAGGAGCCATTATGAATTTTATGTTGATTATTATAGAATTTCTTCTACATGTTACTTTAGTAGCACTTGGAATCATGAAAAAAGACAAGTTATTGCATCTCAAGCTAGAGAAACAATTTTAACAAAGTTTGGTATGAGATAACTATTATCTCGAGTAGCAAAGTTGAGTTGCCTTTTCAATTCGCTTGACGGAAGAATCGTAAACAGCAATAAATCCATTCGTAAAAATTCCATTGGAATCAATATGCGAAAACATGTATTTTCACTTGCAAACTCAATGTGTGGGAACAAAGATTCAACAGAAGCAAAACTAATTAAGGATAGCAAATTACTTTCTGAAACAATTTGTATTGGAGTATCACTCTCTGGTTGTAACTGTAACACCCGTCCCCCGATTACTTTGAACCCTAGGTCTCGCGCCCTAACTTGTAACACAAGAAATACACTTGCACACACTGAAAAGGGGAAAAAGAGGGGTGAGCAATTCCGGGAAGAATTACTCAGTGAGAGAGATCACATCTGCCCACATGATCCATATTAAACAATAATTTAATTTAATAAAACATATATACTAAGTATAGAAATAGTCAAGCAACAACCAACCTAACTTCTAACAAGATATCAACTTAGCATGCATCACATAACTCATCATTATACATATCACATAACTCATCAATACATATCAATATCTCGACACGAAGTCCATGACAACTTGGGCTGGCCGTCACCTCGAATTGTCGTACGCCACCTTTGGCTCGTCAGCCGGTTTACGGGCTTTAGCAGGATCGCCATGTCCTCGCCCTCAGTCCGACACTACATACCTCACACATCATATACCACATATACAACTATAACATAACATTACTATCATTCTTTACCATACTACTTCACAACATAATCTCATTTTATCATTTCATTCAACACATCAATCACTATCCGTAGACCAAGTATACATGCTGACCAAACCATACTATTGCATAACATGAATCCACAAATCCCAACCCTCACCTTATAAATTACATCCAAAAACTAAGTTTGGAAGAAAAACGGTTGAAACGCTACTCCTAGCGGTCTGAAACTCCGAAAATAGCAATTCCAATATGCGTTTGCGTTTTAGAGCACATTAGGGTTTCTGGATTTTTGACAGACTAAGCATTACTTGACCAGAAAGCAACACCAATAACTCACTGATTTTTTTATCGGATCTGGAAACCGAGACTTGATCTAGAATCCTTGCAACAACACCTTTCCAGAGACACCAGAACCGGGATCAGATACTCTCTGAATCGACGGAAAATCTCCTCTAAAAACCGCTCCTCGAAACTGGAAAAAAAAAAAATTCTGAGACAGCTTTTCTTATGCAGAAACAGCAACACATAGCCAACTTCAAATACGATTTGCAAACCCGTCTTACCTCGGAATCGGGATCTGAAAGATGCTGTAGAAACCTTGAATCGAGATCTATCCAGACGTATGAAGAGCGTCGTCTGAAACGTTACGGTTCGTTCGGAAATCGCCCCGCAAGATCACTGCTCGCAACAGCCTTCCTTTGCTCCTCCTTTCCCTGGTCTTCCAGGTCACCGGAGCTCACGACTGACACACTCAACAGCGGCGGCGGCTAGGTCACCGGTGAAAAAAGGCAGAGCTTCACTGCAAGGATGATCTCAACTCCTTCCTCTCTTTGGCGTCTCCATTATATAGAGGAAGAGTGTGGAGAGAGTTAGGGTTTTTATGAGATATATGGGCCACACGAAATGGGCCATAGGGTTTGAGGGTTTATTTGGGCTAGGACCATGACAGTAACCCATGCATCTCTGCAAACATTGTCTTTGCTGAGTGATGGCTACGAAGACAGAGATCGGACAAGTCCCCAATGGTTAAGAAAAGAAGATAAGTCAATCTAATTCCTACAAGTATACTCGTCAAGAAACTAGTGCTCTGGGAAAAAGGAGTACAAAAATCTCTGAGAAGCTGATGGATATGGTGCAAGTGAGTAGTCTCCAATCTAGAAATTATATGTTAAATTAAACCCATGTTTCATTGGAATAAAAAGACAAGAAAAGACAAATTATTCTGATAAAACAGCTTCCAAAGTTTGAAAAAATAATAAACAGAACCTAATGGTTTGGTAGGTTTGAAGAGAAACTTATAAGATTTGGTACGAAGATCATGTATCACACGTGGTTCCGAGGAATCACGACCTTCAAGCAATAACTTATTCTTCCCCATAAGTGCTACAGGTAACAGCGCCAAGTCTGGATTCCCAAACCAATCAAAAGTTTTTGTGAGATCTATCGAACACATTCTCTTCCATGTCTTACTGTCGCCAGAAGAATCCAACGACCATATTAGTTGGGTGGGCCATTTCATCTCAGAGACGCACAGGCGGTTACCGAGGATGCCCATAGTGAGGCTGTGCGGTTCACACGGATGGGTAAAGGGAGCTTTATTACATATGACTTGAAAAGTTTCGGTGTGAAGATCGAAAGACAACACCTTGGTTTATTCACACTCGGTGAACCAGTAAAGCGACCCATCTAGATAGACGGGTTTATGGTAAGCATTTATCCGGTAAGGAGAGGCAGGGACAACGTACCTCCAAGCGTTAGGGCTAAAATCGAAAACTTCACAAGTGGTAACGTTGTCTAGGCGAAAATCGGATGAATTATATAACCAAACCGGCTTGAATGTGCACGTGATCATGTCTTTGCCGAAACGAGGCTTAGGACTTGAGTAGTGAAACTCTTTTCGCTTATACATGTCGGAGAAGAGGCCATGAACGGTAGAAAGAGGAAAAGTGCGTTGCCATCTAGTGGCGGGGTTGACACAGTAGATGCATACTAGACCGTCACAAGTACCATGGCAGAAATCACTGCCAGTGATAGAGAACTTAACCGTACGAGCTATTGATGAACCGTACACAAATCTATGAGCAACTTATGTAAAGTATATTGTTTAAAGGATAAAAGCTTTTTAATTGCTGGTAAAATAAAAAAGTTGAAAATATTTCATTTCTCATAGTGCAACTTCAAAAGAGTCGTGAGGTTACAAAAGCTTAAGATACCAAAATAAAACGCATATAAACGAGTACGAGACTGAACATAGAGCTCCTTGAAGATAGAAGGCATCTGCAAAAGAAACGATACAATTTTAATTTTACAGAAGCCGATTCACACATTCACAGACCAAAATACCAACAATGTACAGAAGCATACCAAACGAGAAATGAGACTGAACATAACATAGAAGTCCTTGAGGTTACTTCAGAGTTCAGACAGAAGCCATCTGCAAAAGAAAAGACACGTTTTTAATTTTACAGAAGCCGACTTCAACATTCGCAGACAAAAACAGCAGCAGCTAATAACAGAAGCATATACCAAACGAGAAATGAGATTGGACATTAATGTACCTTAAGGTTACTTGAGAGAAAAGGCATCTGAGATGAGTTTCTCATCTTCTTCAAAGACCTGAAGGTTCTTGGACTTCATTAGAAACTCTAAAGCATCTTCATCAAACTCCACCAAGCAAGCCATTTTCACAAGCTCAGACAGCCGTCCGATCAGATCTTCTCTCTCCCACAACACTCCTTTCGCAATCACATCGCCGAAACACGTGGCGTATTCCAAAACCTTTCTTTTCCCACACGCTTTCTCCATCTTCTCTGCATACACAACTCCCTCTCTCTCCCACCTTATCATCTGCTTAGCCTTTGCGATCAGCTTCTCTCCTTTTGAGAGTAGCTTCAGAGTATATTCCGTCGAGATTGCCTCCGAAGTTTCCTGAACCTTAAGGCTAACAAGTCCATGAATGATTCTAGAACGTTCCTCAGCTTCAATCTTGAGAGATGGATCAGAGAGAAACCCGAGAATGAGCCTCACTAACCCCAGACTAATCAGATTATTCTCTTGCTGCTCAATCTTGAATCCGTCAGTTAACTCAGCTTCTGCCATCTCCACGCATTTGGAGATCTCTTTGACGCCGATTTTTCTGTAAATCTCCATAAGTTTCGTTTGTGGCAATGTCTTGATACTTGGAGTTGGGTACCAGACGAAAACAGGGGAACCTTTGAAGAGATCTTTCAAGAGCAAGTCATCTGCTATGAACACGTCGCTCATGTTTGATAACAAGATCCCTCCATTCTTGCTACTATCTGGTGCGTTAACAGGCAAACGCGAAACTGATTTAGAGAGGAAGTCAAGACCATGGTTGTTACCGTGTTGCGTGACGAACCTCCAGAACGCACAACACTCTTCGTTTGACAATCTGTCCTTCGTTGTTCCCCAATCTTTCCACAAAGCACAGTAATCTTCAGTCGACGGGTTAGTTCTCACGCCAAATGCAGATGAGAAGAAGCCAAAAAGATCGCGATCCTTTTCACTGTCGTAATGTTTTTCCAGAACGTTTAGCTTTGAACCGAAGACCTTGTCTTTGTCATAAAGCACGCAGCTAGAAACATCGACCCATTTTTCACCATCCGGGATCCAGATTCGGTCTAAAGACGCACCCTTCTCTGGTTTCCATTCAGATTTACTGAGAAATCTGTATATTCGAGTTATCGCATCGGAATCAGCAAAACAAATGTGGCTAGCAAGCAACTGACGAGCTTTGGCTTGATCATGGCTAACTCCAATCGCAACTAGCTCTTCCTTGTACGATTTAAGCTCTGAGCCATAATACTCTTCATCAATAAAAGGACCATCACACGGCTCTAATTCCATGCTGTTTTCAAAGAAGAGACATTCATTCGGACTGCGGTAACCAGCATGTGTCTTCAACCATTTGACAGAAGCCTTTTTAACAAGCTCTTCAGGGAGTTTCCCAAATCTGTCATTAAGCAAGAACTTGATGCACTGAAGAAGAGACAGTGCGCTTGAACGAGTGATGCGAGAAGGATCAGGGAGACTTAGGGAGCTAACAATATGGTTCATGCCTTTTCTCAGCTCAACAGTAACTCCCAAGCTCTCTAGTTCTTTCTTGTAACCGTGTATACTCTACCGTACCAGTTAGAGCTGTCATCGATAAAGGGGAGATTCGCAATGAGGCGGAGAGGTTCCCAGCCTTCTTCAAAGAGAATGCAGTCTTTTGGTATGCAGCCATTGTAACTCTTTGAAGGTTTTCATCAGATCTTCAGAATACTTAAGCTGACCCCCCATCAGTTTCCTATAACAAGATAAAAGAGACAAGGCACTACTTTGGGTTAGAGCAGAGGTAGAAGCTTTGTGCTTAAATGTGCGCACAAACCCTTTCACAGCTTCTTCAAACTGAATCACAACACCAATTTGCCTCAACTCCTTAGTAGGAAAAGATTTTGCTTCCATAGAAATCCTCGTCGGTCAGAGGGAAACAATCAAAAACAGATAAGAGGCAGCTCCATTCCGGATCAGGTATGAAACAATCAGCAGGGGATTTGTAGCCGTTTTTCGTCTTGAAGCATTGAGATATTTTCAGTGCAATTAATCAACTTTGGAGGACTTAGATGACGCACGCAATCAAGTACTAAGAACTTTGTAGGATAATTCAGCTTCGAAGGATTAGAGTGTGAAACAATGAGGCTGTAGTCAGGAAACTGAACTACAACGTCTAGCGACTCAAGCTCTTCCTTGAAACCGTTGATGTTAACTTCACCATAGATATCCCAATCAATGAATGGAATATCACTGATCAGCGACGCAGCTCTCCAGTCTTGGCTGAACAGAACAGCTCCATCTGGATGATATTTAACGGCTTTGATGAAATCCTTTGGTGAGAGGAACTTGTTTTTCAAGTGCCTGATGAATTTCAGAATCGAGAATACATTGGCTCTTGACAATGACGAGGTCTTCGCTAAACTCATAAGGTGGCTAGCAGCGAATTCACAGGCTTGACTGAACTCAGACATAACACCAGCAGTTTTCAACTCTTTTTCATACTCCTCAATCTTTTTCCCATAAGCGGAACTTTAACCATGTTTGTACCCTGAAACCTGGACTTCCAATTCTCAGCTATGAAAAGAAGAACCTCCACATACGTATTTTCTGATACACTTGTCACAAGATCACAGCCCTGAATGCACTTTGCATACCATTCGTCACTGACTTTCTGCAAACCCAAGAAATCAAGAAAGTTGTCGTTTTCAGGCCTATCAAAAGATGAGTCCAAAATATACAAACCGTGAGACGAAATGTTCTGCAAGCTCGCGCCTTCTCTGCAAAGTGTACCCTGAAAGCAGGAATGAGACGACCAACTTCACAAGGCCTGTGGAAGAACTTCTGGCCCAAATGTGAGACGCTTGGCACAATTTCCTCTGCAGAAATCCTAGTCCTCACAGATTCTCGAACAAGATTTAGCTTTGCGTAAGTAGATTGCTTTACAGGCAAGAACCTAAAAGCTAGACACAGGAGCATCGATCTTTTTCACCAAGGTGGTGAATGCATTCACAAAAGCCAACGGAACAGAGTTGAGAATCCCTTGGTTCCATATATCATCAAGTAGTATAGTTTCCCTGGACGATGATAGGATGAAATCTGCTTGAATTGTGAAAGGAAAGTTTGTCACCATCTCGGTGGGAAGGAATGCGTAGATACCAGGAGAGCTATTTCCACGGCCAAGACGCTCTCCAAATGGAAACGCCAAAGTTATCACCCAATCCTCAACTTCACTTCTCCTTTCCACACGGTTCTCATGTTTCACCGGAAACTTTTGCCTCCACATATAGTAACTGCATTCTTTTTCAGAATTTTTCCCATTTTCATGAGCAGAGAGGTGGATAGTGTATGACTCAGCATCAATGCTCTTCCTCATCAAAAAGTCAGTCTCGCTAACAATCCCGATTGAGGTGACAGTGCTGAGCTTTGGATCTTGACAGTGTTCTCTAATAGAGAGACACTTGATTTTCGATAGAAACAACAGAACTTAAGGATGAACATTACCGAGCTGTTCTTTCACCGGCTTAACTAACCCAAACCATAAATCCTTTGTATGTCGACCAGAGATGGCTGTTGCTCAACCCACTCAGGAACAATGTAGCCAAGACTGCAGTGGCTGCAAGGTGCCTCATTGAATCGAATTTGATAGCCGTTGCTGAAAATATAAGGCTGAGAAGTGATCAAGAACACACTCTTGAAACCAATCCCTGCAAACAGAAAACACATGTAAGAACAAGGGACTGTTGAAAATCGATTTTTCCTTGAGGTCATATGGTAGAACGCAAAAGACATACCTTTTTCTCCGATATAGCCGCGTGTACGATTCCCTTTCTTGGTGGACCTACCAACACTGGAAATGGACTCAATGTTCTTCTCAGAGAAACCCCTCTCATTGTTGAAGATAAGGAGAGTGGCCGGAGCTCCAGTGGCTGTGATGTCCTCAGATGTAATCACACACTCAAGTGATGGATCCACACCTTCCGGGTACTCATTATCCTCAGCGTTCTGGAAAATTCAATGATTTCTAGTTAACAATGTTTCCTTTCTGACAGATATAAGAGAACACAGAGTAAACATCATATGTTTAGCAAAGAGTCCACGAAACATGTTCAATATATTTCGAAACGAATACATATAATCGATTTGAGATTGTTCTATTTCGGATGCATTTTGATATGTACACTTGAAAACTCAAGAACCATGTATGTTGATGCTTTTGTATGTATGTGCAAAGAGCAAATATGATTCTGATTACACAAGACCACATCATGAATATATTTTCCTTCACTTTGGTACGGAGAATAAACTAGGTAATGGACTTTAGTGCACATAACATCAGAAATTCCACTACACAAATACACACAATATTTAAACACAAATAACACAAACAAAGTATACTTGGAAAATAATTAAAGCGGGAAAAGTAGATATTCAAATTCGATTCCAGAATTTTCTCGGGAAAAGAGCACAAACCCTTGTGGAAAGAAAATAATAATAAAGCAAAATCAAAAACATGATCGGAGAAACAGAGAAGTAAACTCACTTGGATAAGCTCCATGAGGAAGTGCACATCCTTAGCGGAGAGATTCTTCACAGCCTGGCGAAGATCCTCCGTCAAAGAATTCTCAGCACCGCCGATTGAAAACTTAGTCCTCCGAATCTGATCAACGTGTTGCTTCGCCGATTCCGCCATTGTTGTTTCTCCTCTTACTGGTTTGGTTTTGGTTTCTCTCTGCGAGTGAGGGA